CTGTATTTTTATATGAATCAGAAAGTGTATGTGCTTTTTTGCCCAATGTTTTAATTTATTTTTTTACTTTGGGTCTAGATAATACTTTTATATAACTTTTTTTTTTTGTTTTTTTTAACTTAAGGAACATGTAGAATCTAAAGGCTTTCAGTTATTTGGATGTGATTATTGTTTCAAACCTGGCTCTTTTGTTGGTTCCACTTGCTTTTTGTTTTCACTTCAGTAGCTCTGTCCAAACACTCAGGTGTGTCATCTTTAAGCAGCTTTAAAGTTTAACAGGGCAGAGAAGGGAAGCCTCTGGGCTTCATCTGACCTTTTAACCTCTCGCCTTGTGTATCACAGCTTTAGTAGTGCCTGCACTTTTTTTTTGCCTGGGCTGAGGAAATGAATTCCTGCTGTTTTTCCTCCTTGCTGACTGGAGTTGCTCCAGCCTCGACCCTAAACGCTTGTCCTCTGAAGCTGGAAAAGCTCAGCGTCAGTTTTTGCAATCACATTTTTTAATATGTGAGTTTAACAAGGCAGGTTTTATATCACTATGAATGTCAACATGACCCAAAACTAAAAGCCTGTGTGAAGCTTTACAACTTTTAGAAATTGTTGTGCGACACGAACTAAATGTAGCTATGTTTTTCAAAACAGAGAAAAGGGAGTTCTGCAGCCACAGATTCCTAAAAATAACCTTATATTGCAATTATCCTCTCCTTAACTGGTACCAAACTGAGTCTCCGTTAATGAAAGGGTTTTGGTTTATATTGACGGAGAGAATATAAAGTCAGGTCAAGTCAGTCAAATATACATGGGACAAGTACCAGACACATCTCCTTTGTGTATATCCTTTAAGCTTTAATGGTGAAGCAGAAAACAAAAACAAAACAATACTGTAAAATAAATTAGATTAGAAAAATGCCACAAGCACATCTGAATTGTACAACAAAGCAATGCAACATACTGGAATCTTGATTTCCATATATACAGAATAAAAAATAGACTTTTTATTCTTTGTCCACTTCGTTCAGTGTCAGTATTTTTTGTCTTGGAAAAAAAAAGAAAAAAAAAAGAAGAACAAAATCTGAACAAATACGTGTATTATTCCCTATTTTTTTTTTTTTTTTTGTTATTTTTTTAGGATTTTTGTCGGCACTGACATTTTGTATGTACGTATTTGTATGTCCATGTACACACAGGATGGACTATAAGTTTGTCCCAAAAAGTTCAGAAAAAGAGGGTCCACTCTCTTCTAAAACAATAACAACAGAAAGCGGAAATGAAATAAAAACATAACATGTGACTTCTTCAAAAAGGGACCAATACTCTTCAGAAACTTTTGGTGAACAAGTCAACAATACTGATATAATCACATATGACACAGAGACGACCAAATTGTTTTCTCCCAAAAATAAAACAAGGTGACTGTGGATTGTCTTTTTCAGTTTGTGATGAGATAAAATAAAAGAGTAAAGCACTGCGGGAAATGGAGTTCTTGATGTGCAGGGAGGGAGGAATAGGAAGAGGGTGGTGACGTCAGTCAACAAAAACATCACCATTCTTTTGACCAACAACTAAATTAATCTGAAAAAAAGAAGCATAAATAAAACATCAGTTAACCCTCTTTATGAAAGCAAGTTTAACTTTACAGTGCTGGTCGAAAAACGTTTTTACAGAGATACCGAAACATGAATTTCTGTTAATTTTCTGTATTTTTTTCCCACAAAATTGACATAAATCAGTTTGTAAATGAACTCTTTTTTCTTTTTCAGCATCATTGAATGTAACATCAACACTTTTTCTCTCACACAAACAAGTGCACAAACCCAACTCTTTGGTGCTCTAAAGCAAACTAAAAACTGGACACTGAATGTTTTCTCAATAACAAAATCCTTCCATCTTTTCTCAACAATCCTAAATCAAAAGTCCTCTTATTTTACTGTGAACTCTGGGAAAATTAACAAATACACTTAATCCTTCTCTGGTAAAACTCCTTATCACTACAAACTGAAACACTTCAATCTTTTTTTTTTATTAATTTCTTCAGTAAACCCAGATAAGCTGCTAGTTTTAAGGGATTTATTCATGCAGGCTCTGTGCAAGTTTACATGGTCAGTAACAAGCTACTCATGTGAAAAGACAACTTAAATGTATCCAAAGTGCATTAAATTCCCCTTAGATGATCGCCTTCAATTTGACTCGGGTAAAGGTCACAACTAAGTTGCTTTTTGCTTCAACGGCAAAGACAATTGAGTGGTGCAGGAAGGACGAGTCCCAAGCTTCAGAGAGTTTCATGTTTTACATCAGTAAATGCCTGACTCATAAATTTTAAGGGTTTTATGTGTCTTAGAGAAGGTAGTTGCTAACAAGTTGCTAAATAAGATGATAGAACATCATCACACCAAACACATCAGCCTTGTTGTAGTGGCGACGATAAGTCGTGATTCCATTAATGCTTCAAAAATCATAAATTGTGGTGTTCATGTGTGAAGATTATCTGGCTGAACAAAATATAGAATTATCATAAACATTTGTTTCCCACAGAGCTTTTTCTGCAGTAATCCAAAATCCAGTGGAAAAATCCCATAGGCTTTTTGATGAGGGAACCAGGGCAACATTAACTTCCGCATTGGCCTACAAAAAGCATCATCCCCACAGCACTCTATGAGCCTTGTGATAACAAGTTAAATCAAGCTTAATTAATGTTTAGATTAAGATTGTTTCAATGGCAAGTCCATGTCTCCCTTAACAGATAAAGTTTCTGATGTCTGGTATCAATCAAAGATGGATTAGCCTAATGTTAACGTACAATTGTTTTCAGAAATACTTTTGTTTTTAATAAAGTGTCATATATACAACAGATCAAAAACTTTATCAAAGTACATTAAAAATATCAATTTATAGAGCCTCTGTGAATAAACCCATTAAAACATGTAATACTAGCCCTAAATGTTACATTATTAAGAAGCCAGGGATGTTGGAAGGACAATGTGTTGTTGTTCATAGTGGCCTAATGATGAAAACCGACATCTCTTGGCTAATGCTAATCACCTTCAGTTAGCTATTTTACATAATGTACACATCCACCAGACAAAGATATAAATATCATTTTAAGGGATTTGTTTTTGTGTTTTAAGTCTGTCTTTTTGTTCTGTTTTTCAAAGGTCAGAGGGGCTAGCATCCAGCTAGCTGTCACTGAGAAAGGCTGCTACATTGACACTTATGGGAGCTGAGACATCTTTTGTTTTATTTTTGTCTCTTAGCTTTGTAAGTATATCTCAGAAAAGTCCATTTAGAGTTTTAATTATGAGCCAAATCTACATTTTTCTTCTTCTAAGTGCTTTTTACTCTCCACTTCAACAAAAGTCCTCATAGCATCTGAACAGACAGACTGGAAGTTCCTGTGTTAAGTTCATTAGCGGGGGGTCTTGGGGGACTCGGGGTCTCATTCATAAGATTAATACTAGTATAAACGTCATGTTCATTTTATAATTATTTCAATATTAAGCTTGCTACAGATAAATGTTTCATCTTTAGTTGCTAACGCTGCTCATTAACCGGCTAGCACTGCTACATATTAAACCTGTTGGCTGCTGGTTTATCCCATCAGATGCTTCTTAGCCTGTAGTTCCAACCTTAAACTTATTTCTGGAAATACAATATTTTGTCTACATGTTTAGCGCTCAATATCTGTTTCCACTTCTTTGGGGGAAATTTTTCAAATGTTTTCAATTCTTTGAAAACATTTGAAAAATTTCCATTTCTTTGGTGGGCATTTTTCAATTGTTTTCATAAAACAATTTAGCAAGGCCATAACATCCATCATGATCAAATCCTCTGTATTTTTGGGTGAAATTGCAACATGGTAGGAAATTTACATTTTACAATTAAAAACCTACACATTGGTATATTTTGTGGTAATTTTAGACTTGATACTGAACACTTTCACGCCAATAATAATAACTAAAATGGGATTCAGTATTTCTGCTAATCAGATTTTTTGCAAGGCTCTAAGAAATTTAGAACTCAATGCTGAGCATGAAATGTACATTTCAATGTAATTAAACAGTTTATTTTTAAGAAAAACAGCTTTAACAGTAAACTAAAAGCATTAACAATCAAGATACTGTTGTTTAAGAATTTTATAGGCTTTATTTTTGGTGTCTACTCATGACCTCAGGATTTAAAAAACCCTTGCTACAGCTCTAAAAAAAATAAATACATTAAAAGTGTGTTACTTTGACTGACAACACAGATTTTGCCCAAACTAGGATTTTCTTTGCACTGAGCGGTAAATCCAAAATTCAGTCTTTGAGTCCGTCAGAAACCTACAGGTGACACTTTTTTTTTATTAGCAACACCTGGCCCATCATGGTGACTACATCTGTGAGCTTTCAGATATGTAACCTGAACAGGAAGCTCCAGTCTGTCCTCTCTCTGAGGGGCTCTTCACTCCGGCTAATCTGAGCACGTGTCTCTATAGTGCAAAAAATAAAAACGTTTTTAACGTTTCTTAAGAAAAAAAAATCAACATAACACAAATGCAGCCAAACAAAATATTATTAACAACAACAACAACAATATTATTATTATTATTATTAATATACTTACTGACAATAATAATTATAACATCAACATGGTAACAAAAAGAAGTGTTTGGTTCCAGCAGCCGGGCCAACTTGTTTCTTTCAAGTATCTCTCAACACACACACACACACACACACACACATCACAAATTTAAACAAAAAAATAATACAAAAGTGTCTTCTTCTGTCCTCCTCATACATTTTGAAAAAAGTAAACAGATGGGAAACAAAGACGAGACAAAGTAAAATAAGATTGTAATACGTGAAACAAGTTGCATAGTTTTGAGATTTTGTTGTTAGTAGTTTTTCAGGCACCTCGTCTCTCCACGGTCTGACAGGTCGAGTGGTGCTTGAACGTCTCAGCCACATAAATAAGCCTCGCTCCCTCCTTTTGTAACAAAAATATATTAGATATTCTTTTTTTTTTTCTTTTTTTTTTCTGAAAGTGCCTTTGAGACTCTTTCTGAGTTCTGCTGAATGAGGACGGAGACAAGTTTTTGTTCCAAGAGAGCGACCCCAAGTGATGGGCAGATGGAGGGAGGAGGTGAAGAATGAAATGGTGGAGATAAAAGTGACAATGCTCACAAAGTCACCTGCTCATCTTCCTCTCCTTCCTCCATCTCCTCCCAGCATCTCTCTCTCTCTCTGGGTTCTACAGTCCTCCACCTGTCTGCACCTCTCCAGTCCAGTTCGTTCCGGATCGACCCGGCTCAGATGTTAATATTTAAGAGCAGCCGCACTCCTCCACGATCATGTTCTGGATGTCCTTCTTGATGATCTTCTGCTCCTCGTTGTAGTAGAGCATGGACATGGCTCGTAGCCGAGTGGGAACGCAGCATGACCTCAGGTTCTGGAAGGGGCTGTAGCCCCTCATGCGATAGTGGCTGATGACAGTGGAGTGGAAGGACAACGTGGACCCGGTGATACTCGCCACATGGGAGGGGCACTCCCCTTCACAGTAGTTGGCGTGGTAACCGGGGGGCGCAATTATCCAGTCGTTCCAGCCAATGTCTTTGAAGTTGACGTAGAACTGCCGTTTGCAACAGACACGGACTTTCCCATCACACTCCAGCCCACGCTTCCTGCGCCGCCGTGAGTCACTGGCGTCCTCCTGCCGAACCACGGCCATGAGGAAGGGCCGGTGGGATTGTTCCCGCTGGTTGGCGCGCTGTGATGTCTCAGAGCCACTGGAGACCAGGACCAGCGTTGCACCAGCATCTGCGCAGAGCGGGCAGGAGACCCTGAGGCTCAGCGTCGTGCTCTCGGCACTCTCCAGCAGTGCCTGCACCGCCGCTGACACCGGGAAGGTGTGCCAGCCACTGCGACGTGTGTCCACAGTTTTCTCCGCCAGGAGAATGTCATCCTGCGGCAAAGACGAGCGTCCATTGGGTAGCCGGCACTGCTGGAAGAGGCGGATGGTGACTTTTGCACGGCTGCGGTTTGTCTTCGCCAAACGGAGGAACAGCCAGACATTTGCCTGCTCCACCAGAGAGAGATCACTTCCTTCTTTAGAGAGGATGAAGTTCACCATTCCCTGAGAGTCACCTGAAACAGACACAGAGACAGAGATTGTTACAACATGATCGTGATGTCACAGTGCAGAGTCAGTGAGGCGAGTTTAGCAGTAAAACTCTGGTCTCTGACTGGCTAAAACATTGAGGTCAAAAGTTTAACTTCTGTTCTAAATCACTGGTAAATTACAGTTAACAGCAGGTAACCACGGCAACAGTTAACAGTCAATAATCTGACCACATACACACTTTAAAACTGTTCAACTCTGTGGTGGAAGATACATGATGTCTTCATCTGCTGCAGGACAAAGAGACCTGGAACGCCTCGCCAATACACTGGAGTCGATTAATGTGTGTGTGTGCAAGAGAGAGACTGGATTCACACCCACACACGCACGCACGCACGCACACACACACACACACACACACACACACACGAATGATCAGTGAGGCCACATCTGAGCTATAGAGTCATCCACACACACATTACACACTTATCATTATGTTACCACCTCTAACATGACCTCACACACACACACACACACACACACACACACACACACACACACACACACACAATGCTGATTGGCTCTTCCTGCTGACTCAGCAGCAGTGGTCGGAGGTTTTGGAGTCAGGCAGCATTTAAACCAGTTAATGGTTCCCACCAGGAGCTCTGTTGTCATTACTGCAGCCCAGAACCACTGAATTTACAGCAGCTCGACTAAAAAAAATGACTGAACTGTTTACAAAGTGTAATCCTGTTTGGTGAATTATGGGAAAGTTTCAGTGCTTGCAGGTCAGCAGGAGAGAAGCTGTGACTGTTAAGAGAACAAAGTTTTGTTTTCGAAGGTAAATGCCTGCAGTTTATTTTTTTTAATTTGACCTCAGAGAGTTGGTCGTTTGTGTTAGCCAGGAGGGGTTATGCAGAGAGGATACAGCAGGAATCGTGATCTTTCTTGGTGGTTTTTGTTAAGAGTCTTGAGCGAGGTTCGCCTCACTTGAAGTGAACAATAATCATCTGTGGAATGTGATTTGCTGAAACAGGCATCATATTAAGTAGACAGCTCTCTCCTCTCACACATCTTACATCTGATTCGTTGAACGCTTCCCTCGCTGGTCTGTCAGATTTTCCCTCAAATCTGATGCACGATTTAAATCGATTTTCCCCCTCTACTTAAAATCAATTTTCAGAAAAATATTTGTGGCCTGGTAGCACGTACCTGGGCTCCAAAACTTTCACCATGTGAATAAACCCCGGCTTTTCCATGGTAAATATGGGCACCATATCTCTTGCAAGATACATTGCGACTGCATCTGTGATCGCTTTCCACCGGGCCCCTTTCTCATCATACGGCAGTGTTTCCCCTACCATTAAATTGCCCCCAACCCTTTAAAGATCAAGTTAGTTTTATTTAATTTAATTTTCTATATAGCTCCAGATCACAACACAAGTCATTTAAGGTCACCTTTCCTATAGAACAAGTCTATACCATGTCCTTTTATTAAACTAACTAAAGAGCCTTATGTTATTTATCTTGTTTACACAACGGCATGTCAGTTCTGTCTATACAGGGTGCATGTTTACAATCCTCCTCTGCTCTGTGTTGCGCACGGCGGAGTTCGGCCCCGATGCACACACACACAGACACACACACGCGCGCACACACACAGACACAGTTGAGCACACTAGAGCACGGCTCGGAATGCATTTTCCCCGAGTCTGAGACAATTATAACCGAGCCTGGTCTGAACCAGCCTGTATTGCGTTCAGGCGTTGTCACGTAAATAACAAATTCAAGCACTTGAATAGGGATATTTTCGTTGGGAGCAACACCTCTCCCACTCGGCAGCATGCCTCTGTTTGAGGTGCTGCAGTAAATTGGTAGTACTGCTACCTTGGGTAGCAACAGCCTTCAAACACACTTTGCAGCTTGTTGCTGTTTATTCTTTGTCTGATGCCACAAAACCGATCTCTTTCCCTTTCTTTGGAACGAGTTCTTCCCCACTCGCTGCCATGATGTTTGTGTATCAAGCGCGCGGGGGGGGAGGGGTGAGCCCACTCTGAACTATGGGAGCCCAGCGGGGGGGGTCGGTGGCGGATGTTAAAGAGAAACTCGATTTTCATTAAAACAAATCGACCTAAACTACAAATTCGAATTAATCGTTAAAATCGATTTATCGCCCAGCCCTAACTTCTGGTTAGAATTCCTTCAGTGTTCATTGTTCAGGAGGTTTTTACCAGGAGCTGACTTATCCACAGAGGTTTCCTCTCTCTCCAAAACAAACAGACCATTTGATTAAAAGTGGTAAAAACACTAATGAAGACATTTTACGTGACAAAAATCTGAAATTTTCTGATGCTCTTGTCACAGAGGGACTGCTGACTACTAATGTAATGTAATGTAATGTATCAGGCTAAATTAATTCTCTGATGGCTGTTTTTCTGGAGTCTGTTTCACCAACCTGACACCAACAGTCATTTGTCAAAACATTTTTTGTAATAAATTCAGTGGTCCGTTTTAATTGTCGGTCTTTAATTTTTTACTGGATTTGATGTGACAGATTTGAAAGCGCTTGTACATCCTAACTTTTCTTGGCTGAATTTGTGTCCTGACACACAGAGACACACTCTTTGTCAAAGTCAGTCTTATGTTTTTCAGTGCAAACTATCTCTCTCTCTCTCTCTCTCTCTCTCTCTCTCACACACACACACACACACACACACACACACACACACACACACACACACACACACACACGTCCAGACCTGTATTTTACATTTCCTTGAAACCTCCAGGCCAAGCAGCGAGCTAATCACTGGTTTGAGGACCCAATTACCATCCACCAGTGTTACATAAGATCTTTGCATCACCTTGTCCTCTTTCTCTCTCTCTTCCTCTCTCTGTAATGTCTCTCGCTTGTAGGCGTCCATACAGAACATCAAAGTCACGATTTGGGAGTTTATGAATGTCAGCAGCAGTGATGCTCTGTTAAACGGTGTGAACGAGCGGCTTGTCTGTGTGTGTGGAGGCGGCCGGCACTTTAGCGAGTCCATTAACGCCGTTTAACCAACAATTCGGAGGCGATTATCTCACTTACATCACCACCACTTTAGTAAGATTAAAAAATAAAAGCTCTGTTCATTCATTGTTTCTTAGAATAGTGTTTGTGAAGTTGATTCAAGCTGCTGGAAGAAGAAGAAGAAGAATTCTTAACTTAAGATTCTTAACTGGTTTAGTGCATGCTGGGACAGACTGTGGCCTGTTGTTGATTTGTTCAACTAGCAGTCCAAACATCACGGTTATTAAGCTTTCAGCGTTAAGAACCAAATTTATACCATCAGAAACCATATTCATACCACAGGAAACCAAGTTATACCAACAAAAAACCAAGCCTTGACCATCAGAAAACAAGTTTATACATCAAAAACCATGCTTAGCCCATCAAAACCCCCTTTTATACAATGTTTGTTTGTTTAACCTTACTCTTATTAATAATACATTACAATTGTTAACATTATTCAAGGGGAAAGTTTGTGAAGCTTGAGCCATGAAAAGATTTTACAGGAAAAAATGACTTCAATCATCAAAATAGTTCACACATTCATTTTCATTAATACGCTGTTTGGTCAATGGACTAATGCCTTGTGCATTTTCATATGTTTTTTGTGTAAAAATCTAAATCTAAAGTAAAGTAACCAAAGCTGTCAGATAAGTGTAGTGGAATAGACAGTGGGGCCAGACAAAAGTACTCAGTTTACTTGAGTAAATTAGTTACATTCCACCACAGGTTATAAGCTTTGGTTTAGAGACTGAAGAAGTGTTCCTGAAGGGAACAGCATTTTTAGAAAGTTCCTCCCAGTCAGAGGAAATGCTAACAGGACATTAGCAGCAGCTGTAACAGCGAGTGCAGTCACACCAAAGACAGCTAATGTAGAGCTGGTTATTATGGCTGTAATGACAGACGAGCTGTCGACAGATGTCTGTTGCATCAGTGTGATTTACATTCACATGTTCACTTTGAGTTGTGTCACACATCTGTCTGAAGAATCATTAAGGAAGAGCTGCACTGCTATGCTGCTGCTGCTGCTGCACATTCTGCTAGCTTTAAAATCGGCCTGACGTGACAGTGAATGTATCAGCTGCTTAAACTCAAAGTTAGCCAAAAATTAATTCCCTGTAATTTCTCACTGAGGTTATCTCTCTGAGACTTTGTTACATGTTTGTGGATAAATCGTTAAAGAGTTTCTCCTACTGTACCGGAGTGTAACATTTGAGTGAAGTGATTATTTTGTTAGTATTCAACAGCTCAGCTCTCACGAGGCTTTTACTGGTCACTCATCTCAGATGTTGAAAGCTCCTTGAATGCAAACAGAGCTACAACCAACAACTACTTTCTCAAATAATGGATGATTTGTTTGGTTTACAGAATATCAGAAAATAGTGAAAATATCTGTCATTATTTCCTAGAGTCACAATTTATTTAGTTTTGTCTAAAAAACAAAGACAAAACTAATAAAGAAGACATCAAAGAAGCTGAAATCTGTGATGTTTGGGCATTGTTGATCTACAAAATGTGTATGTGTAATGTGTAATGCTCTCAAAATTGATCAACTAATTGTTTCAGCTCTGAACACAAAACAAACAAAAGTATGTGAACAAAGGTGTCCACATACTTTTGGCCACAAGACAGACTTGATATTAATCCTTTGTCTCTTTGTACAAGCTGTATCTTGTTTGTATTTTTAGCAGGATAGTGTAAAAACATGTTGACAGATTTTCCTAAAATGTAAAGAAAAACTAGTGTAGTTTGGTGCAGAGATGCCCCATTCTAAAACAGAACATGAATAGTGAATAATGAATAGTTTTTGCATTTTCTCATGAACTCCTGCCCTCAGCTGAATGGAAACACCTGCCACATACATCACACACTGTGTGTAACTTGTCTAAAATATTATTGCATGCTGCAGCATTAAATCATTACTTCATTGGAACTATGAGGCCCAACACAGAAAACATGTTCATGATACAAGTT